TCTTCCCTGGAGAAATCTTTGCCTCTGTGTCCCAGGATGTTCATTGCAGCATTGCCTCTAAGGCAAAAAGAGAGCAAATCACCTAAAAAAAACTCCATCAACATTGGAATGGCTAAATGAACTGTGCTCTGTGGGATCAAATATTAGGAAGTGGAATTAGAATTGAAAGAGTGAAGTAGAGGAGAATGGAGTTAGGGAAGGTCAAAAAATATTTTAGACTTAGTTATAATGTTCTAACTTCGAACACAATGACTATGTTAAGATAAGTCAGTCTCTTAGGATATCATTTCCTGTTCTTCATTTTGCCAGTTATATACTCAGATGCTATAAGCTGGTATATTTAGAGAAGGATTTTCCTTGTTTTTAAAAACAATTTTAGAATTTTGCAGCATTTTTGAGTTTCAACGAAAATTATAAACCTCTCTCTAAAAAAGAGATACATAAAATACGACTTTTCTAAATAAATAAATGTTTAAGAGAAGTTTTAAGTTCACTATAAAATTGAACAAAATGTACAGAGTCTCCATGTACCCCTTCCCCCACACATATGCACAGCCTCTTCTACTTTCAACAACCAGCACCAGAGTGGCACATTTTTTTTTAACAATTGGTGAACCTATGCTGACACATCTTTATCACCAAAAGACTAGAGTTTACATTAGGGTTCAATCTTGGTGTTGTGTATTCTACAGGTTTTGACAAGTGTATAATAACATGTACCCACCATTGGTAATATCATATAGAATGATTTCACTGCCCTAAAAATTCTCTGTAAAATGCATACATTTTAAAATATAGTCTCAAGGGACCCTAGCCCCCTGACGCCCAATTACAGCCTCAGATTCAGAGTCGAGATTCCAGGAGAGCAAGGCTCTTACACACAATCACTTTGGAATGACATTTCTTTGTCCTGTCTCTGCCCTGCAAATTCTGGATGGCAACCAACTTTTGCTCCTTAAGTCCCAGCTGGCATCAACTTTGCATCTACACTGGCAGCTTCCATAGCTCTCTAGGAAATGACAGCAAATAGTTCTCTGCTTAGTTAGGAACAGTCTCAGCCCAGAACAGTGTTTTTGTTTTCTGGTGTTTTTCTCTAACCAGCAACATCCTACAGAAGGACTGTCTTCTCCATTCATAAGTATATTATTTACCATGTTTTCCAGATAACCATGTTAAATATATTTACGGGACTTGAAAATGCAAAGCCATGCCATTTCTCCTTTTCTTTACATTAATGACATGAATTAAAGTGGAAGAGACCTAGGTTATCTCATGTTCAGACCTAGGTTATCTCATGTTCAGACCTAGAAAAGGCCATCTAAATCTCTTTAAAATGGGAAGCAAAATCTCAAAGTTTTGTTAGGATTTTATCTTAAAACATGAGAATTAATAAAAATTTATTTTATATTTCTACATATTTATTTTAATCACCAGAACTCTGTTATATTTCTTAGACCTAACAAAGAATAAATCCTATTTTTTTTCCTGTGCAATATTTGCAATTTTACTTTGCAATCAAGTTGCATTATATTAGTGTCCTTTTAACACAAATTTACAAAGCAGAGAGAGCAGGAATAGCACATCTTCCTTTATGGCCAAAATTGGAAATGGGCAAACTGAGGGAGAAAATAATTTACTGTGAAGAGCAAAGGGGTTAGGGTATTCTAGAGCAGGGTGAGAGAGGGGAGAGAAAAGAGAGAAGAATGGATATGTATTTTTATGTAATAATTTTTGCCTCCTCATACAGCTTGGTGACTAAGGACACTCATATGGTAATGCCTTTTAGCTACATTGTCACTGGTATAAACTACTGTGACAATAATAAATACCTGGGAGGAAAATTGTTCCTATTTCTTATTTTAAAAAAATTTTTTTCGAGGTAGTGTCTCACTATGTTTCCCAGGCTAGAATATAGTATCATAATCATAGCTCACTACAGCCTTGAACTCCTGAGCTCAAGCAATCCTCTCACTTCAGCCGCCCGAGCTGCTGGGACCACAGGCACTCATCACTGTGTCTGGCTCATTCCTACTTTTTTATTCCCCTTTATAATCTGTGTTGCTAGAGATTAAGATAAAAATGAGACTGAGAACAAAGAAAAGGGAAATCTCTTTTCTATCAAGAAAAGAACCTTTTCTGTCTTTTATACACCCACCTAATGACAATGTGAGCCTGTGAAAATCTATACATCATGATACATATTCTCACAGTATTCATAACCCACAGACTGTGAGCCACAGCCATTCTGAGTTCCTCTAAGATGTCCCTAATCACAGCAGCACTGTGGTCTTTAATTAAATGCTGATAACTGAAATGTTCTACCAGCTATCCTAGACTGTTCTCTGGGTTAAAACAAGTAGTGCTCCAAACTTTTCACTATCCCTTCTGATGGTGCAATCACTTGAAAACACCTATGCAGACGGTTTAGCAATCATCAAACTAGTTCCTGGGTTTAATAAGTCAGCCCTGTCAAGCTGGAATGCTTGACAGCTGGTCTTCCCCGCTCCCCCATCATTCCTCATTTCAAGTTTTCCCAGCATCTGCCAATGTCAAGGTAACTAGGAAGAGGCTTTGGAGTCAGAAAGACCAACCCTCAAATTCAGGTCCTGCTACTCTTAACCAACTGCCTGTGGATGGGTTACTTGTCCTTTTTGAGTCTCAGTTTTCTCATCTGTGAAATGAGTATAAGAACTCCTGGCTGGGTGCAGTGACTCATGCCTGTAATCTCACCATTTTGGGAGGCTGAGGCAGGTGGATTGTGAGGTCAGGAGATTGAGACCATTCTGGCTAATATGGTGAAACCCCGTCTCTACTAAAATATAAAAATTTAGCTGAGGCATGGTGATGTGGGCCTGTAGTCCCAGCTACTCGGGAGGCTGAGACAGGAGAATCGCTTGAACCTGGAAAGTGGAGGTTCAGTGAGCCAAGATCATGCCACTGCACTCTAGCCTGGGTGACAGCGAGACTCCTTCTCAAAAAAAAAAAAAAAGAAAGAAAGAAAGAAAGAAAAAAAAAGAACTCCTGACTGGGCTGGCATGGTGGCTCATGCCTGTAACCCTAGCACTCTGGGAAGCTGAGAGCTGAGGCAGGTAGATCACCTGAGGTCAGGCGTTTGAGACCAACCTGGTTAACACAGTGAAACCCTGTCTCTACTAAAAGTACAAAAATTAGCTGGCCTGGTGGCATGCACCTGTAGTGCCAGCTAGCTATTCGGGAGACTGAGGTAGGAGAATCACTCGAACCTGGGAGGCAGAGGTTGCAGATAAGCCGAGATTGTGCCACTGCACTCCAGCCTGGTGACAAAGCGAGACTCTGTCTCAAAAAATAAAAATAAAACAATAAAGAAAAACTCCCATACAGGGTTGTTGTGAGAAGTAAACAGGCAAATGAAGTAAAAGCTAGGACATGTTAGTAGACATTGAAAAGTTAGCTCCATCACACACTCATGCATACACACATTTCTTTTTTTTTTTCCTTGCAGAGTACTGAGGGCCTCATAGCCACTGGATATTCCATTACAATTGGCCTGATCTTGGAGAGGTGGAAACAAGAGGAAGGACGAGGATTTCATGACTTTGCCTCTTCAGCTGTGGGGAGAGGGCAGAGGTACATGGTGGAAAATTGCTGCAAATCTTGAGGAAGGGTCCCAGGACAAGAGAGCTTTGTTCCTGGCCAGTACTTTATCAGTTAACCAGGAATTGCATCAGAATTTGTTGCAACATCCTCAGAAAACAGAAAAGTCCACGGTACAAATGGCACAGATCCATAATTTGGAGGACTGGGGGTAAGAAGGTAACACAAGATAAAAGTGTCTATTACTTTATAAAATCCTAGCTAGAAACAAAATGGTGGCTCCCTGAACATCTTTCCCTCTCTTCTCCCTTCCTTTTTTTAGGAACATAAAAAAAATGTATATATATATTCACAACCACTTTATTGAGGTGTGACTGACATATAAAAGTTGTACCTATTTCATGTACACACTTTGATGAGTAGTCAAAAGTAGTCAAAAGAGTGTATACTTTGATAGGTATACACTCATGAAATCAGCAGCACAATCTATGCCATAAACCTATCCCTCACCTCTGAAAGTTTCCTCCTGTCTTCTTATTTATCACTAATATTATTTCTAAGGGTCCCTACTCCTCTTGTCAATACTCCTGATGTGGTTCCAAGACAGCACCAGGAACAGCATCAGATTTATTTAAAGCTTAAAACTCAGGTGTGAGTTCCTTAGAGAAAGAATTCAAGGTGAGTTGCTTGTCATTCCTTCCTGCCCTTCCCTTCTAAATAAAAACCCAATTAAAAGAAGTCAGGCTCCACAGTTGCCCAATTCACTGTATCAGTAAAGAGGCAAAGAGGTATCTTATCTGTAGATATAGTCCTTGGACAATTGTAATAGTAAAGTTCTTCCTCATACATTTCTATGTTTTAAAAATATTTCCATCTGATATTTCCATTTGATGTTAATATTGAAAATGGAAGACAATAGAAGAGTTTACAAGTGAAGTCAAGAAGGAACACTTTTTCCACCTACTCTTCTCCCAGGGAAAACCTTCATTCAATTAAGCATAAGTTAAATGTTCTATTCCTAGTTCCCTAGTCATCTGAAATGAGCAATATTCCCAAACTCACATCAATATTTGACAAATCACCAAATTATAGCACACTATATGGGTCAAATTGTCTATGGAATCAGAATGGAAACATTTCTGAAATGTACTGTCTCCAGTGATTCTATTCAGGTGACCATGAAAGGATATTTCTAAATAAGTTTTCAATAGATAAGCAACTGTTAGACTCATTAACTTCTGCTTCTGTTTCTTTTGCTTTTGAGATTTTTTCTTTTTTTAATTTTCGGAACTTTATATCAAACTCTACTAACTTAGAATTCACTTATTGACAAAAATTACTGATGTCAAAGAGAAACTTTTAAGTGACTATTTTTCCTCTGTTGCTGTGAGATAGACACCCCACTCCCAAAAGAATTAGGTACTTACTTGGATTGTTTTGGGTCAAAGATGGACTTTCAAGACCCTGAGAGGATTCTGAATCCAGTCTTCCTCTCCAGATCCCAGAAATTTTGCTACAAATGCTCAGAATCCAATTTTGCATTAGGATAAGTCAGGGAGACAGTGAGGTGAGGAGGAGGAGAGAGTTCTAGCGTGCTGTGCATGATCACAGGCGGTCTTCCGGGCTAGCAGCAGCATCTCTTCCTTGGCTCTGTGCCTCATGGACACAGATTAGTCATTAACAATCCTTCCCTGCTAAATGGCATAAACATAGAAAGGAATCTTGGGAGAGCCTCGAGATTCCCAAGACAAATCCACAGAGCCCCAGAATGAGGAATGTGACAAAACCAAGGAGCCCTGAAGATTGCCTTTTAAAGCACTTCTCCACTGGCCATTTTGTGGGCTCCTGGGCACCTGTATTTCTGTACACATCAACTAACACCAAACTGTCATCTTCCCTCCCTCTCACTCCAAATTTCTTTGAATAGCTCTATCACTTGTCAGAGACTGAACAAGAAACTGGAAGCCTTTTTGACTCTTCTGTCCGTCCAGCCACCCATATCAAATAATAACGTATTAGGGTTGATTGCATCTTTGGAATGTCTCTTATTTCCAACCCACGTTGTTCCTCTCCTATTTTGGGCCTATCATAGCTTCCTTTCGGGATGACATTGGTCCTATAATCCCTTTCTCTTCTCTCCCCTTCTTCTGTTTTCCAAATTGCATGGCAGTGTAGAAGCATGGGCTCTGGTTAGATGCCCACTCTTTAGTCACAACCTGAGCAAGACACTTGGCCTCTGTGAGTCTCAGCTTCCTCATCTGTAGAATGGATGTGGAGAAACCATCTCATGGGCTGTGGTGAGAATTACATGAGTAGTTAAAATGTTTAGAAAAGTGTCTGGCAGATAGCAATCACCCAGTAAGTTGTGGCCATTATTATTTCCTTCATTAGTTGAACCATCATTGATTGATTGTCTACCTACTATGTACCCAGCAACTTGCTAGGTACGCCCCTCATCAAAAATTCCCAATGTATTCTCTATGCCTAAAAAACAAACACAAAATGCGTGACATTTAGAGCCCCTTCCACCCCTGATGATCTAGCCCTAATGTTGCTAGGATTTTCTCATATTCTGTCTCTTCAGACAACCTCTGCCAACATACACCAAGCTCTTCACACTTTTGCACAAGCTCTTCCTTCTACCTCAATTACCTTCTTTTAATGGCCATACGTCTTTCAGGCATGGAACAGAAGCAGGGTTCTCCCTGAAGCCAGCCCCATCCCTCATCTGCCCCTACTCTGCCCACCAAACTACCCTGATCTTTTATTTTTAGTTCCCTTGCTGTCCCTTAACTCCTCTGACCTTATATATTATAGTTTTCTACTATAAAAGAACATTTTAGAAAACTCTTTTATAAAAACATAATTTCCAGAGGACCAGGCATGGTAGCAGACTTGTCTTTGTATCTATTCCTTGGCTTAGCACATTTCCTCTCACAGAAAAAGCATTGTATAACTCTTTGTTAACTCAATGAGTGAGCTGAGAAACAACTTCCCAAAGTAGCATGGCTTCACGTGTGTGTGTGTGTGTAATGTGTGCATTTTCCATCTGTGATGTCTGTCATTTGTTTCCAGTCACAAGGTCAGCTAGCAGAAGACCTATAAGCGAAACTGTTAAATGTTATATTTTGCTTCTCTTATAAAATAGCATTTTTGTAGGTCCTACCGGCTCCCACTTCCTACCTACTTCTGGGGATTCCTAATGTACTGTGGTCCATCCTCCAGCCCCTTTGATACAAGGAAGAGGCCTGTACATTCTCATTTGAAGAGAGTTTGGATTGACACTCACTGCACTCTGTAGCTCTGGGCTGCCTGAAGGACTCTTGTGTGACTTCTATGTGATCCCAAGCCCATTTCTTCTTGGATGATAAGAGCGTGTACTGTGATTTCATTCTCTCCAGCAGAGATGGAGACAATGACTGAAGACACAGACTCTGGCACTGGACTGGCTGGGTTCAAATCCGAGCTCTGCCGTTTACAAGCTGTGTGACCTTAGACCTTAGGGTTTTACTTAACATCTGTCTCAGTTTCCCCATCTATAAAATAAATATATAATTACTATGTATTTCATGAGGTTATTGTAAGGATATAACGAATTAATCTATGCAAAGTGCTGGTAGCTGACACACAGAAAGTGCTCTGTAAGGGTTAGCTGTTACTATTTTCTCTGGGTCTTCACACTGACAATCGTATTTGCCCACTGCACTGGATATGCCTTGAGGGTGGCGTGTATTTACCATCCTTCTGGATCTTCAATGGTATACTATGTAATGCTAGGCATAAGTGTCCATTCAAAAATTTCAACAATTATTTGTCTTCTCTTCATACCACACAATCAATCCATTAGAAAACATTCAATTTTTAACTTTACAAGATATGTGCTGGATCTGATACCTTCCCACCACCTCCACTGCCACGTCTCTGGTCCACGCCAGGTTTCTTGCACCTGGGTTTGTGCCATGGCCTCCTACATGGCTTCTTATTTACATGCTTGCACTCTGCCATTTGTTCCCAGCATGGCAGCCAGAGTGATCCTACCAAAACCAAAAGATCATGTGGTCTTTTGCTCAAAACCTCCACTGGCTTTCATGTCTCTCAGAATAATGGCTGAACTTCCTACAGTGACCCCAGGGATCTATATGACCCTGAATCCTACCCTATCCCACCATAGCTCTAACTTCACCTATCATTCACTCCAGTCATGAGGCCTCCTTGTTGTTCTTTGAACTCATAAAGCGCACTCTCTCCCCAGGGCCTCTGTACTTTCTGTTTCATAGCCTGGATTGATTTTTGCCCAGAAACCTTCCATTGCATGCTACAGCTTTCTACTCGCCTGACCAGAGAGGCCTTTCCTGGACACACCAAATACAACGCCATTTCTCTCCCCAGTCAAGGATCTCTTTTCTCATTCCATCCCCCCAACCCTTTTTTTTTTTTTTTGAGACAGAGTCTGGCTGTGTTGCCTATGCTAATTTTTTGTATTTAGTAGAGATGGGGTTTTGTCATGTTGCCCAGGCTGTTCTCAAAAGCCTAAGCTCAAGCTATCTTCCTGCCTCGACCTTCCAAAGTGCTGGTATTATAAGCATTAGCCACTGTGCCTGGCCTCTCTTCTCATTCTTACCTTGCTTTATTTTCCCCTGTAGCACTAAGCACTAGGCATCACTTGGCATACGTGGACATGTTTCATGTCTCTTTCACTATATGGAATACAGATAGATGACTATACCTATCTTGTTCACCACTGTGTCCCTGATAACTGGGTGCCCCAGGCAATGTGCTAGTGCTGAGTAGGAGAGGCCCAGAACCCAAGCTCTGAAAGCTCACCATCCAATGAAGGAGGGAAACTCTGCAAAATAATAACAGCAATAATAATAATAATGAATTAAATCACATAAAGAGTGAATAATATTCACTTGTGTTATGTGATAAGACGGAAAAGTTCAGGGTCTCATAAAATACTCTCCATTAATCATGACAAACAGAAAATGTGCTCTCCATTCATGGGATTAATTCTAACTAGCACAGAAAGAAAAAAGGGGAAAAGGAATAAGCATTTACTGAGCAGCTAATATTTTCCAAACAGTCTGTTAAGACTGGCAAATCAACAGTGAAAAAAAGATGTGTTCCTTTTAGTCATGCAATTTACAGCCTAGTGTGGGAGACAATTAATAAAAACTACACAGATGATCTTATAAGTTCCCTTGTGACAGGATGTTATGGAGGAAAGTACAGGGTGCTGTGATTGTATTTATCAAGGAGCCCCCACCATGTCAGAGGGCTTTAGAAAGCCTTCACCTAAGGAAGTCATGTTTTTAGCTAAGATAGAAGGATCTCTGATGTGTTGGGAGTGAAAGGTGTTGAAGAGGGAGCAGGGTAGGAAAAGACAGCAGCAAAGGCTCTGAGACAGGACGGAGGTTGGAGAATCCCGTGAAATAAAGAGAAGGACAATGTCTTTCAAGGAAGAATGTGGAGGAGGAATAAAGAAGTACGGGTAGAACAGGAGGCAGGAGCAGTTGTGTGCTGGTAAATGATTAACAACCAGCTCTCAGAGAGGTGGGTGAATATATACATATATTTATTTTAAATTTTACGGATTGAACAGGTAAGTAACACATTTTACAAATAATAATAAATTTACAATTTCTGTGTTCCATGTAGCCAGTGAGTCAACTGGAATGTTTTCATTGAGTTTTGCCAAACTCTTGTATTGATAGCCAACTTATGGTTGCAGTGCAGCCATGGTTTGACAAATGGAGCCACATTCTAGGCCACTAGTTCTTTCCCCAACATAAATATTGTCCTGAAATGTTATATGTGATCTACTGTTAAACTATGATTCTCATATAAATTATTTTTGTTAAACTGAACCCTCCTTGAGTTCCAACTTTCTGTATGTTGGAAATTCACTTGTTTGTGAGTGATGTGAGTAGCTACTTTGCTGAATCAAATAACAGTTTTCATCCACTGGGAGAACATTTCTTTGGTTTTTGTATGTGTTCTTCACAATGTAACAGCTACTAACATGACACACTTCCAAGTTTAATCTGCTTTATTAACAGTTTCTCTGTCACTAAGACTAAGGGTCAACAAACATTTTCTTTAAAGAGCCAAAAAGTAAGTACCTTAGGCTTTGCAGGCCACATCTAGTCTCTGTTTTGTTTCCAATTCTTCTAAAATGTAGAACTTCTTAGCCTGAGGGCTGTGTCAAATTTTGCCTACTGACCTTAATTTGCCAACTCCTTAGACCAATGTCAATGGAGAGAAGGGGCAATTCTGCTCGCCAAAGGATATTTGGTAATATCTGGAGACAGCTGTGGTTGTCACAACTTGGAGGGAGTGTCATTTAGTAAGCAAAGACCAGGATTCTGCTAAACATCCTACAATGCACAGCTTCTCCCTCCACAACCAAGAATTATGCAGGCCCAAATGTCAACAGTGCCAAAGTTGAACAGGCCTGCCTTAGACAATCTGGACAATTGACATTACAATAAATCAGGTCTTGATTTGTAGACATTTTCCATGGTGTAAATATTCTAATCTTGGCTAATTTCCAACTACCAATGTAATATCACCTAACAGTGGTCCTGGGGACCGATACAAAGTGGCACGCATTATATGCCACCACATAGATGTACTAGGCATCAATAACCAACATCATAGAAGATCGTAAAATAGTAAAATAATTAGGGCATGACAAATTGTGAGTGTTTATTA